TGGTATAATACTCTGCAACTGCTTCGTTCCTGTCCCGAATAAAGGTTATCTCTCTATAACTTTTACATTTTTATAACACCTACTTATTTATAGTTGGTTCAATTTCTTTGTGTGCATGCATATTAACAAAAATACGCTAACAAGACAAACTATCACAATTTTCTGTTTCAAAATAAAAAATGAAAGTTTAATTGGGAATTTGAGGTATTTTAATTTTTTATTCATGTATCCATTCTAATTTTAAATGATCCTCTCCAAATCCTAGTATATTCAATAACGATTTTAAGAGAATTTATAAGAATCCACATAAATTTGGATGTATTTTATTAGGATTTTAAAGGTGTTTAGAACCGTAGTATATAAGTGGTGATTTTAAGTGATTTTTAAAGTTAAAAATTCTGAAAAAAAATGGAGAAATTTTATAGTGTAGTTTAATAACACCTCTAGATATCAAAAAATTGAAAAACAAATACAGAGAAAAAGTTCGCTCAATCTTGCTTTCCTCGTTGCTTTATTGTTTGAATTTGTTGATAAAACATTTCACACAAATATTATTTATTCACTTGTGATGTACCTACGGCACGGTGGCAGCCAGTGCTCCGAACAGTGCTAGACCCAATGATAATTGCGGAGAGATTCCAACACAAATTGAATCTTGAAGATTGAGCTTTGCTTTTATTGTTTGTCGTTTTTTGCATATCAAACATCTTATGTTTATTAAGCCGTTGGTGCTTCCACCATTTTCTCTTCCTTTTCATGGCAACCTAATTGAAGTAGGAAAAGGTATGTATGAGTAGGAGCATTACAATTTAGAGAGCAATGAGTGAGGTGATTGTACAGAATATGATGATGAAACCCATCAGGCCACCTTTGCTTTGTACCCTATTTTTAATCATCTTTTCAAAGAATGTGCAGCACATGTGACACTTGGATCACAATTCTCCCCTTTCGACGTTTTATTCTATTTTCCATAGTTTAATTGCTTTAATAATAAAGTGATTGTGACGATGAATTAGAGAAAGAGATCGAAATACCATTCTTTGCTTAGTCAGATCTCAAAAGCAGCATTGAAAAATTGGAACAAATAACTTTTCTTGGATGTCTAAATGATTTTTAAATTAAATAACATTTTACAAATATGATTTTACATGATGAAAGAAAATGAACAATTTGTATGGTTGAGATACATTAATCATAGATGAAAAAACAAGTTTAGGTTCCTCCATAGGAACACAAGGATTATCTATAATTTATAACTAACCACTAAACAATTCACAAATTAGGTTTGTCCTAGTCTCGCAGAGAAGACTACTGCATGCATCTAAGTTGCGGAGGGAAGTGACCACAAATTAGTTTCGTCAGTTAAGCAAGGCTCCTTAAAAAGACAAAAACAAAAAACAAAGAGAGGAGAGAGCTTTAAGAGGCCTATTTATGTTTCTGTTTCTGTTGAATTACATATTAACGGTAAAATAAGTTAAAGAAGCTCAAAAGGTAAAGAAGCAATTGTGGAAATTGGGACCGAGTTAAGGACAAACATAAAGTTACTTCTTTTCCAGAGCTTTCTTTTCTCATGTTATCAAGAGCTGAGCTGCTTCAACTTGTCATGTAAATTATTCGAAGAGATGGAAAATCGCATGGTGGTGAGTTCACATAAAAAACATTGTGATTTGTGAACATGACTAGAATGTCCTTCATATAACCTCCCCTGTTTCTCTGCATTATATGTTTGTATTAGTTTGAAAGGTGCCTTTGCAGGGCCTTGGCCAGGCCCTCAAGCTTTCAATCAAAGCTAAAGCAATATTGAGCGTGCCACTGTTAGTTTAGTCTAACATAATGAATTTTAACTGTCAAGTGGATTGATTACTTACGCCACAAGTTATTGGGCTTCTGAGTTCAAATGGATTGTTTACAGATGAGTTAAATCCATAAAAGGCTCTTTTCTGTGCCTTATGGACAAGAACTTTTGAGGCAATAATAACAATTATCGAAGTTACCAATGAGTTGAAAACAATCGAAACAACTTTTTGGGTTGAGTTAAGGACAATGTCACTAAGACATTTTGTGGCTCTATCCAAGATATACAAGCAGTGTCAAATTGCTACGCCTTCTCCAAGATAAATCATCTAATAATCACCTCTCTAGACCCTCATTTGCACTGAGGAAGATCCAAAAACTATTATCTTCTATGTTAAACTCAAATATGTTAAATGCTTTATACTAGTTAACTCTTTTTCTTATACCTGGAAGCCTGATCAAACCCTAAATTTTACAGAGCAGACTAGAGTACGTTGAAGAAGTTGAGAAGACAGTGCCCAAAGAATCAGGAACTTCTCATCTAGTTGAGAAAGACGAGATCTTTTACTTTATCTTCAAAACAAATTCTACTTAGTTGATGAGTAGTGGTCTTCCACAAAATAAGAGAAAACGTTCTTTACTGTAGAAAATATAGAACCCGAATTTACATTAAACACAGCGTTCCAATTTCTTTGTCGGCAAAGTTTTTTTTGAAATTTAGATTTTGCGCATGAAAAAACACTGTATGAGTAACATTCAAAAAAAAAAAAAAAATGGGTGTCGTTAAACTAACAAAGGATAATCCGTTTGCTTAACAAATGAAAGGTAGATTATAGCTAATCCAATTCGGCTTAGTACTATATATGCTACCCTTGGGAGACAAATATTATCATAAAAATTTTGATTGTTCTAGTAAGATAGTTCGAACAAGTATACCGACAGTAAGGAGAGTAGTACTAATTAAGGGCACCCAACTAGTATTCTGATTTCTTAACATTAACTTATGTAACGCATAACAAATCATACACAAATGAAATGCCGGCATGCTAAAGGGGATTTAAAATATTAAGATAGGAGTCGGTTGCCAATTGGAGTACCCAAAATTAATTGGGTCATAGGAGCAGATGGCAATAGTTTCATATAGCACAAACAGTCCTAATTAAGAAAGCAAATGTCGTTTTAATGATGTTTCAGTTTTAACATGGAGAGTAATCCAACTATTTACAAACCATTGCAAACTCTATTTTTTTCCGATTTAAGATTCATACTCTCAACAATTTACAAATTAGGATACAAGTTTGTTCTAGTATGACAGAGAATACTATGCTACTACATGCGTCAAAGTTGAAACAGAGAGAAATGACAACTTAGTTTCGCCTAGCATCTTCATAGTGTCCTTAAAAGACAAAAAACAAAAATCAAAAGAGAGGGGAGTGTTTTAAGAGGCCTCCTTCTATTTTTGTTTATGTTAAAATTGGGTAAAAGAAGTTGAAGAAGCTCAGAAGCTCAACAGCTTAAAGAGTTAGTTGTGGAAATTGGGACCAAAAGCACAAACATACAGTTAATTCTTTTCCACAGCTTTTCTTTTCTCATGTTATCAAGAGTCGAGTTGCTTCAATTGGTCATGTTTATACCATATTTAGGGCCTTGTATTTAGACCTCGTATAAATACTCGGGGGACTTAAATGTAATTATGTGATAAAGGAATGGGCAAATATGTAATAAGTGAGGAGTCCTTATTCTATAAAAGGACCCCTCACCCTCACAATTAGAAAAGGGCTCACTCTCACTCTCGGAGACCAATTTCTAGGCCCTCTCACCCCCTCTCAAAGCTCCTACTCTCAGAGCTCTCTCCCTCAGATAAATACATATTCAGTGTGGACGTAACCCAAACATTGGGGTGAACCATGATATATCTTATGTCATTTACACTCTGGAGAAGCCCAAAGACGGCGCCAATGTTTGGGCTTCTCCAGAAAACTTTCGCAGACCTCCAACCACCTCTGCCTCCTCTCTCAGTCAGTCAACACGGAAACCAAAGATTTCAGCTGCAAATTCACCTGCTTTTGCAGCCCATCCACGCCACCATGTCCTCATATTTCCACCGAGTTCCAAAGTGCTCACCAGAAAAAATGATGGCTTCCATGTCTTTCTCTACAACTTTTTCAACACCTTTACAGATTTTTCTCAAGCAAAAACAAAAATAAGCACGAATTCTTTAGCTTCATGCCCTCCATGGCGTGTTGGATCAAATCCTCACTTGGGTCTCCTAATCGGCATTTTTTCGAAATGGGTGGTCTTTCCAATCGGAGAATTTTAATGGGTTTCTGATCAAATCTTGGTCTTTGGTTGTCTATGCTAAAGCAACTACAACAACATCTCTATATATCTCTCATGTCCCTCGTCTCTATCTTGTCCCTTATCGCTCAGCCTGACACATTAATCAACACACCCAACTGAAAGAGGGGTAGTTTCGTGATTACCCTGATTCCGCCATGGGCATTCCCTGCGACGACATCGTCGTTATCAAGCCGAGGAAGGCTCCTGATGAGCCATCTGTCCTCACCGTCAACTGTCCCAACAAGGCCGGCCTCAGCTGTTATTAGGAGAGGTTGAAAGATCAGCTCTCGTCCGCGTGCCCGTCGTCGTGCTTCTTCTCATTTTATCTCAATCAAATCTCCAACGTCCCAACGCCTTCTTTGGTCTATCTGTTGAAGTTTGGGTGCCACGACCAGAGAGGCTCACTCCACGATGTTTGAGCCATCGTGCGATTTGGGCAAGAATTTGTGGGATCTCGCGATGGCCCAGATGGTTTATGATGATGTTGTTGGGGTTGGAGTGGTCGAGGAGATAAAAAATCAATGGCTTTTCTCAGTTTTCAGCATCTGTCAATTTGGCGGAGGAACGAAAGATGCCAAAATTAACTGCTGAGAGTACCTGGGATTTTGAGATGTGATTCATTATTGTATCTGATAACCAACTTAGAACTGTCTCTGCCACGTGTTCCACAACGAGTGCATTGACAGGGGGCTGGAGTATAATGATCATCATCATCACCATCACGACGAGGACAATCACAAAACTTGCCCGCTCTGCAAGACTCCATTGTTGACGTCATTGTAGAAGCGGAGCCTGAGTTGGGACCTTGCAGGCTTAAAAGGGACGGTCAAATAAGAGGCTTATTTCATTGAACAAAGTTAAACAGCATGAAAAAGGAGATTCAATGTGCGGCGATCCAGTATGGAACTGGTGCAATTTCAGGTTTCTTCCACCAGGACCATGTCCAAGTCGGTGATCTTGTTGTTAAGGATCAGGACTTTATTGAGGCAACCAAAGAGCCTGGAGTCACATTTGTGGCAGCTAAGTTTGATGGTATTCTTGGACTTGGATTTCAAGATATCTCAGTTGGAGATGCTGTTCCTGTCTGGTATAATTTGGTCAATCAAGGTCTTGTTAAAGAACCAGTTTTCTCATTTTGGTTAAATCGCAATACAGAAGGGGAAGAAAGGGGTGAGATTGTCTTTGGTGGGGTTGATTCTAGTCATTTCAAGGGTGAGCATACATATGTTCCCGTGACTCAGAAAGGCTACTGGCAGTTTGATATGGGTGATGTCTTAATTGATGGTGAATCATCTGGATTTTGTGCTAATGGCTATTCAGCAATTGCTGACTCAGGCACCTCCCTATTGGCTGGACCAACGGAAGTATGGAGAGGTGGTGGAGGCTGTGATCATGAGGGATCGTGCAAAAGGGGAGATAAGATTAATGTACTTATCATTCCTTGTTTGCCATCTGCAAAAGAGAAAAGAAGACAGAAACAAAAGCAAAAGTAAAGCAGAAAAGGAAAAGAGAAAAAAAGAAGAGAGGAACATGGAGACATTTCAAAAGCAAGGAATAAACACCCCACCAGAATGATGTAATTTATTTTATCTTTCGGAAATATCTGTATAAACCCCATTAGAGGGTAACTAAAAAAAAATAAAATAGCAAAGCCCAAAACAAATGGGCTGGCATGTTGTGGAGGGCGAAGGCTCATAAGCCCGAAATAGCACCAACCAGGTGATCAAAAGTATGCCCAGTACTCTAAAAATTATTCGGTAACCCGCCGCTATTACCACCAACCAGGTGATGAAGTATACAACCCGTACTCTAAATATCATTTGGCAACTAGCCATTCATGCCACCAACCAGGTGATGAAATGTAAACCCGTACTCTAATATATCATTTGGCAACTAAGCCATTCATGCCACCAACCAGGTGATGAAATGTACAACCCGTACTCTCCTTCATGCCACCAACAAGGTGAACAAAAGTACGCCTCAGTACTTCAAATTATACATGAGCATTACTCATGTCAATCATACATAAACATTCATGAGTATCACTCATATCAATCATACATAAACATTCATGAGCATCACTCATATCAATCATACATAAACATTCATGAGCATCACTCATGTCAACATTCATGAGCATTACTCATGTCAACATCCATGAGCATCACTCATGTCAATCAAACATTCATGAGCATCACTCATGTCAATTAAACACTCATGAGCATCACTCATGTCAATCAGCTTCAAAAGCTTCATTTACAAAAGCTCTAAGCTTCAAAAAGCGTCATTTACAGAGCTCCAGCTTCAAAGCTTCACTTGCAAAGCTTCATTTACAAAGATTTAGTGCAGGGTATACAAATACCGCCATCCGAACAACCGCCACTTCGACCCATACATGGAATTCAATTTGAAGTCTCCAGCCAACAGACTCTATTGACTGAAAACTTGAGGGACTACACTATACGACCATATATTAGGAGCCTCAACTAGAGCCATCTTATGTATTGAGAAAAAGGGACTCCCTATCATTAGAGAGAGCACTCTAGCCATCAACTCTTCATTTATGTATTGAGGAGCGAGCCCTTATTCTATAAAAAGGACTCTCTCAACGCCACAAGCCGAGCTAACCAAGGCAACATAAGCCACGAGCCGAGCAGCCTCGCAGCATGTGCTACTTCTAGTTGAGCATCATTTCAGATTGAGCACCGCCTCATATCGAGCATCAGTTCAAGACAACATCTAGTTACTTCGGCCCACATATAGACCGAATTTCAAGTCTCCAGCCAAAAGACTCTCTTAACTGAAGACTTAGGGGATTACTGTTTATACCATATTAGGGCCTCATATTTAGATCTCGTACAAATATTCGGAGGACTTAAATGTAATTATGTGATAAAGAAAGGGGCAAATATGTAATAAATGAAGAGTCCTTATTCTATAAAAGGACCCCTCACCCTTACAATTAGGGAGGCCAATTCCTAAAACTTTTCACCCTCTCAACGCTCTCACTCTCAGAGCTCTCTATCTCCCTCACTTCTTAGAGAAATACAATACAATTAGTGTGGACGTAGCCCAAACCTTGGGGTGAACCACGATACATCTTGTGTTATTTACATTTCATGCAGATTCACGGTCGGATTTACGTTGTACCAAGACCTCCGGTTTTGTGCATCAACAAGTGCTATCAGAGACCAAAAGTGATTGTCCCGCTTGATGTTCTTACGTCAAGTGCTACCACTTTAGCACCAGGTTATCGCTCAAGACAATTTTGGAATCTTGACGGAGTAAACATCGTAGGAATCCTAATAGATGGTATGCTAACGAGTACTACCAAGGAATCAAAATCAGTTCTGGTTTCTTATCTCGAAAAGGTTGATAATGATGGCGTGAAAATAATGATGGGATTGATTTATAGATCCCTGGTCATACACTGTTATCGCTATGTTTGTACCATACTTGACCAATCTGAAACTACTGAGCACCGGTCAACGTTATACCATCAAGAACCCAGAAGAGTTTCCCTCTAACCAAGAGGCCAATCACAGCGCGACATATGTCGATATCAGAAGCCAATCATAGCGTGACACGTGTCAACATCAGAAGCCAATCACAACACGACACGTGTCAATGTAAAAACAAAGCTAGAAACTCTCTTCTATAAAAAGAGATCATTCTCCCACAATATTTCTTAATGTTATTTGTACTAAATCATTCACTAGTACTCATTAAAGAAGAGCTTGAACCTATATGTACTTTTGTAAACCCTTCACAATTAATGAGAACTCCTCTATTCCGTGGACATAGCCAATCTGGGTAAATCACGTACATCATGTGTTTGCTTCCTTGTCTCTATCCATTTACATACTTATCCACACTAATGACCGGAGCAATCTAGCGAAGGTCACAAACATAACAATTTCTATTGTACCAAAGTCATTGCTGATTTTGTGCATCAACATTTGGCGCCATCTGTGGGAACGACACTTATTCCCACTCTCTTCAGCTTTGTTAAGCTGGTTTCCACCATTCGTACACTCTCTTTTGACCAGGCAACCCTTTCCAACATAAGGAGCAAAGGAAACGATAGCACATAGAATGACACCCTATTGCACCTGGTGCGAAGCAATGAAAGAAGGAACAAAAGAAGTTTGCTCTTCAGGCTAAAGTCAATGAGCTGAAGGCTTAGAACAACAAGATAGCGATGAAGAATGAGATCCTCTAATAGCAGTATGAGAAGGTCTTTAAGATGCTCCACGAGGCTAGATATATTAAAACACAAGAGATCATCACCCCTGTGGAAGTCAACCATCAACTGGGTGCCCCCAATATGGAAGGTCATTTACCCTCGACATGGGTATTCCTATTGAGGAGTGAGCTACTCATCGAAATGGCGACCAACATGAGACTTCTCTCAACCCAGCTGCTTCGACTCGAAGCAGGAGGAGTGGAGGAAGGCACCTCCTTACAGAAGGAGTGGAAGGATCAAAAGCCATCTTTCACGACTGTCGAGACTTCCTAAAGCAACGTCGAGACAATCCCATCCATGTAAGCTCGAAGATCAATGACCCAAGGGTCTCTGAAAATACTCGATCCCCTCCCATGTCCCAAGCCAGCTACCAATTTGGGGAAGGGGCAATAAGTCCGAGAGAAACATGAAGGTATAAGGGACTTAGAGATGTTCCGACAGACATACCTTGGAAGTCAGTACGGGGAGTTCAGGGAAAAATCACATGCTCTTGATCAAACCTTCCTACTTCCAAGATGAGATGGAGATTTACTAAAGAAAGCTCCAATGGTACATGACTCCACTCAGGATCCTCTTGTCCTACAGATCCTTAAGGAAGTAAACAAGTTGAATGCTGAACGACAAGCTGAAATACCTGATTGGAACCAACCTAGGCCTGGCCCTTTTACAAGGAGGATCTTCGACACCCCCTCCAAGCAAAGACAAAGTAGAAGCTTGGCTTGCAACTTTATACTGGAAATGAGGACCCGATTGAACACTTTAACCTTTTTGAGTCCAC